AGTTAATTATGTGATATCAAAAATTAGGTTATTTTTGGAGTTTTGCCTCATTGAAGCCATATTCCTTCTTAGTTTACTCTTTCTCCTTATTTCAAAGACATATTCCACCATTAGTATGATGTAGTGGTGCTTTTCGTTCGTAATTCCTTGTTAGTTCATTGGTTTATTCTCTTCCGCGACTGGGGTTGATAATTCCGCAACCACAAAAGTAGTGTTCCTTCGCTACTTAAGGGTAGGGGAAGGGCGTAGTAAGGAGGGCTTTGGAGGTCCAGGACCTACAAGCATGAATACCAAAACCAGCCCCCCCCATGCCTGCCATTGTGGTACCTTCACCTCACTCGTCCGAAAGCTCTCTTCTCTGAGACTGTGCTCTAGCTTCCGCGCCTAGTGTCCCTCAGCCTGTCTCTCTCACAGACTTGCAATTAACTTCAAAGGAGCTCTTTTTTTCTTGTTTCCTTCGTCGTTTTTCGATGCCTTTTTCTTCACTGTGAGTCGCTTAGCACCAACAGCTCCGTATTAAGCACCAATTTCCTTTGCGGTCTGCAGCCGCAGCTTATGAGCTATTATATCTGTCACTGCTCATATTAGGTTTCCTGCTCTTATCGTTTCCCTCACTATTTTTTCTTTCAGGAGTCGCATTTTCTCACAGGGTTGGGATTGTCTCGAAGCGATCTCGAACCCAAGGCGGCACTATGCTCCAAAGTCTATGTGTGGCACACTAGGACCGAAAAAGGCAAATTCTCAAAAGAGGATTGGAAAAGAATATCTTCAAAGGATAGGGAACTGTTCGATGACATCGAAGCTCATGCTATTGGACTTTAACTCCAACTCAGTCAAGAGCTCATCATTCAGTAGGATTGACGCTTGCTCTACAGGACGTTCACTTCGATTTGAGGAGGAGCGACTAGATCATTAGATCATACTTAGAACAGGACGAACTTCAAAATATGACTGGTATTTTTTGAACGGGTCATTGTGTAATAGGAATTGCTCAGTTGAGTATTGCCAAGCTGCGATACGGACACACATGACGAGCTTAACGCAAGGTTTCTAATATAGGAAACCATTTTCTTCCAGTAAATTACAGTCAAGATTCGTGCTGTTTGACATCTCTGTTATTCTGCACATCCACTCGATTTTTGAGCAGCTCTGTAAGTCCACCAAGATGTTTTTATACAGATCGCCTCATTAGTTGTTGGTGCTATAAAGGAAGGAGTGCGGTTTTTAGAGTTTTGGAGCACATTTCATTTGATACGTGTGTGTGAAAGACTGTTGAGTGATAAAAAATGCCGGCTTCGATTGTAATTGCCATTTGGTGCTGTGTTCTTGCGCTTTTGAACGGAAAGAGGGTGCTATATGTCACTGTATGCTGGAACGCGTTTTGCCTTGAAGCCCAGATTTGTTCTAGTTGTTGATTTCGTAGTTGTTTGTGGATATTGATACAACGGTGCTGCATGCTGCATTCATTCTTTGTTGGTCTCATCTTGCCACTTATTGATATTGATAGATTCTTATTGTAAAATATTGTTCGAAAATTGATTTATCGAATCGCTTTGCTCAAAGTTGATAAGTGCAATGCTGATAATACTAATAAATATTTGTTAGTAGTTGGTTGTTGTTAGCTTCCATGGGTAAAATCCCATGAACTACCGAAGACGAGGGTAATTTTTGATCTACATTCGAGGCTAAGCGTTCGGGAAAACTTGTCTAATGGCAACAGTGAATTGCTTTGGACTGAAGAAAAGAGCATTTCCGTCCAACCTATTACGGCCATTGCATGTCTACTACACGGACTGTCTTTCACTAATAAAAAGCCAGGATCAATACAATTCTTTACGTTGACCATTGAATTTTCCGTTGTAATTATTCTTCCCTTTTGCAGGACCAGAAATGGGGGAGCGCAAAGGTCAGAATTTTTATTATCCTCCGGATTTCGATTACAAGAAGCACAAAAATTTGAACAAATACCATGGTACTCATGCTTTGCGAGAACGAGCGAAAAAGATTTTCGCAAGAATCATCGTCATCAGGGGTTCGTTATCTCTTAAAGTTTCCACTTTCTCAACCTATTTCTACTATTATTACTTTTTTTATCTTGAATTCTTTTTCACTTTTTGTAAGATTTGAAATGCGTTTAATATTTGGGCCGCCTCGATTAAACTTAATCATTTGGCAAGTGGTTGCTTTACAATGCCTCAAAGAAAAGATTGAAATGTATTACACACACCGGCTGTACATTCGAAATGATAATTCCATTTGTTTATACACTACTCTACTATACTCACGATCCTAAGTACCGGTAAAAACCCTAATTTTTGGGAAGGCATCTCGCAGTGATTTGTAGTTATCTTTGACAGGTTGAGGATACTTTTTCTAGCGGTTCTTCTGTGGCCACATACTCTTAAACCTTTTCAAATCGCTGAAGTAACCTGTTCCTAGAAAATGCTTCTTGAAATGTACTTGCTCCACCGAATCAGAAAAAGCGCCTAAATACAGTCCCTATTCTTCGCTCCATTCACCGGATTTTCAACAGGTAAGCAGCAATTCGACACAAGACTTATACAAGAAGAGTAGTGAGAGGAAAGAGCAGCGATTAATTCATCGCAAACAGTCAGCTTGCGGCTGAAGTGCTATCTACGACGGCGTTTTCAAGGTTTTTCAGAAGCGCCCTCACCATCAGCTCAGGCACGCCTTTCACTTGGGGTATGGTAGGGATGATAGCGGCGGTATGTCTGCCATGAAACTGCTATCGTCTTTATTCCTTTCTTTGTGAACTGTTGCATCGGGCATCGAAGCAGCATTTGCCCATAGATCGCAGAAGCCATGTCATCAGTGTTATCTACGAAAACAACGGCGAAATAGGACCACTCACCTCGGTTTTTTAACAGATTTTTTCACCAACGTACCATTTGGTTACCTCCGCTTCCATCTTTCGGTTACATATCTAATGGCCATTTCTGCTTTCAAGTGAACACCACGTCCACCTATTCAGAAAGTAAGAATCATTAGTCACGAAGTTTTTCCAAGTAAATGCTAAATGTTTACGATATGCGTTGTTTCTCAACATGTTATCTGTGACTGGGAGTGTGGGCAACAGAGTTGTGCTCTCGATTCTAGTCGTCAACCAAAGCATCCACGTCATCACTCATTACTAGGTCATTTCGTGTTTTTCGTGGAAAGTTGCAAGTTTTGAGATGGATAAACGAACTCATAAAAAACTCAACAAACTCATAGTACTGAAGCTTATCACCAGTCAAGGACAAGTTTTTGAGAATCGAAACAGATGTATGAAACGATATTGCGATCCTATTTCATAGCTAGTAGCCTGTATTTGGGTATGAGTAATGGATGTGATCACCTACCTGTTTAGAATTTCGATTACGAGCTGGTGGAGGGATGCACTCGACAAGAGAAGCGTTTCGAACCTACGGATGTGGACCAAGTGAATACGTCCGACAGTGCCTTCAGTCACAAGTTGGCGGCAGATGCGATGTTCAAAACGGAGCATCATGAAGAAGTAAGCAATTATGTTCATAGAAAGATGGCTCTATTCTTCTTCATTCTCCCCACAGTGGTTTTGCAAAAGTTCCTACGGAACTGCGTGTTGTTTTTATGAGCTATATTGCTCAGAAACTCTCTATAATGCGTATTCCGTTCAGGACAAAGGCAAGGCAACCAATGACGAGGTTCGTATGGAAAAAATCGAATGGGTCCAGGAAAGGCTGCGGGATGATTTCGCTGCAAACCAAGCTCTTCGAGCTCAGTTTAGAGTAGGTTTAGAAGTGGGTCTTTTGTGCCTTGTACTAACCTGAGATAATATTTTAAGAAAGAAAAACGGGAACTGAATGAGAAGAGAGCAAAAGATGCGGATCTTCGCGCCCGTTGTTCCCTGAGTATACCTCTAGCGCCGGAGGACCCAAATGACAAAAGAGTGGCGGAGATGTTGTTGCGATATCGCGGAGTCAATTGTAAGTTCAATTGAAATTACGAAATTGTTTTTCTATTCGTTTCTCATTTTTTCATAAGAAATTGAGGATTTAAATTTCATTCTTCAAAATGTTATTCTTCATGGGAAGATGACAAACATTACTGCAGTTTTTGAGATTTTACAATTCAGTTTTTTTTTTCATAGAAGTAATACCAGCTTTCTTCGGGACTCGAATTTTATATCTATTCAGCTCATGACGAACAGCAGGAGCGCCGTAATGAAGCTGCAGGTCGACGAATATTCCCAACAACTTCTGGTCCTTCCACATCAAACGGCGAGCAATCAAATCTCCCATCTGCGGAACGTTTGAAGGTTTCTATTCGACGAAACCGTGACCGCCAAATCAATGACAAGGTGTGTCTGCAGATTTTCCACCAATAACGATATATAAAGAACTATTAATCCCACAAATTACTG